ACAGGGAAATAGCAGTTATTTATCCTGAGAAGCACCTTCCTTTTTCCTTTTTAAAAGTGTGTAAGAAGTAGGCTTATTTTTTTTTATCTGAAAGGTTAAATATTCATTGTAAAAGTTTCCAAAAATACATACAGGTATAAAGTAAAATAATGATCACCCATCATCCTGCTGCCCAGAGATAACTACTATAAACTAGGATGACCTAGCTTATTTGTGGGGCCCAGTGCAAAATGAAAATTCAGAGCTCTTTGTTCAAAAATGAAGAATTTCAAGACAGTGACAGCATAGCATTTAACTAAGCAGGGGCCCTTTTGAGCATGGGGCCCTATGGACAGGTCACAAGCCCATAAAGCTAGTCCTGACGGTAACATTTGGATATATAAATCCTTTCATATTTTAGAAAGGACTTTGCAGTTAATGGAGAGTCCCACCAAAGCTATAGGCTGCCTTGGGAGACGTAAACTTTCTGGAGTTATAAAGGAGTAAGCCAGGCTTTCTATCAGAGATACTATGGAGTAGATGAGTTTGCTAGAGTTTGGACTAGGCAAGCTATTAGGATATTTTTCATCTCAGTGGTGCTATTATCTCTGTCCAGCTAAAAAGAACTAGTTTGTTGGGGCACCTGGGTGGTTCAGTTGGTTGAGCATCCTACTCTTGATTTCAGCTCAGGTCATGGTCTTGCAGTTTTAAGAACGCGCTGCATGCGGGCTTGTGCAGAGCATGGAGACTACTTGGGATTCTCTCTCTCCCTCTCTCTGCCCCTCCCTGGCTCATGCTCACGGTCTCACTCTCTCTCTCAAAATAAATAAGTAAACTTTAAAAAATATATATAATTGGTTTGTGAACAATAATCATTACCTGAAAATAGCCTATTTTTGAAAAATGGTAGAACCTTGCTTTTTTGTTATCATCCTATGCCATTTAATAAAAAGTATTATGATGGTGAATATCCTTAGGAAGTTTGGTGTTACTTGTATGGCTGGGTGCCATCAAAACCCCATAGACATTTACGAGGGTCTGGAGCAGTGGTACCTTACTCAATATAGACATTCAAAGGATGATTTGAACTTCTTTATATTTTTAAATCTCTTGTTCTGTCATGTAGCTGACAGTGTCTGTTTTCTTCCCAATTTACTATAACTGTAGAAGTTCCCATGTGTAGTCTGATTCATGACCTTGGATGTTCAGGCTGTCAGATAATAAACCTGTGTGTACATAGAAAAGTAACCCCAAGTTATCTGCTTGTTTTCTTGTACTTTTACAACCCAGACATTAGCACATATTAAATCCTAATTGACTTGCTGGGACTTGATGATGATTATAGCTTAATGAGGTGGGTTTCCCAGGTGACTAAAAATGTATTGTAGCACTAGCTTCCAAATTATTTGTTGTATAGTTTTATGCTGATTTAATGCACTTACAAAAATGGAACAGTTTCCTTTCTATATAGTGTAAGGCACTTATAATGCAAATATTTCTGCTGCTGCTGCAAAAAATGACCTTTCTTGCCAGTGATTTTGACTGGTTTGTCCCCAGTCTCACACTTTCTATCAGAATTAATCATTACTGTGTTACTCAGAATGATTATGCTGGCCTCTCCTTTCTTTCCTGCCTCCTCACACATCCACACTCCACCCATTATTTTTCAGTTGAGCCAAACTATTTTTAAAAATTTTTTTTGATACTTATTTTTTGAGAGAGACAGAGTGTGAGTGGGGGAGGGGCAGAGAGAGGAGACAGAATCCGAAGCAGGCTCCAGGCTCTGAGCTGTCAGCACAGAGCCTGATGCAGGGCTCAAACTCACAGACCATGAGATCATGACCTGAGCAAAAGTCAGATGCCTAACCAACTGAGCCACCCAGGCGCCCCAAGCCAAACTTTTTTTTTTAAACCAGTTTGCTCTTTCTCCCATTGGTTTTTTTTTTTTTTTTAGCATGGTATTTTTTTATTTGTTTATTTTGAGAGAGATAGAGAGAGAAAGACAGAGAGGAGGGGAGGGGCGGAGGGAGAGAGAATCCCAAGCACACTCTATGCTGTCAGCACAGAGCCTGCTCTGGGACTCAGTCTGAGACTGAGATCATGGCCTGAGCCGAAATCAAGATTTGGACGCTCAACCAACTGAGCCACCCAGGTGTCCCTCTCCTATTCTTCTAATACTACTTTTTCTAGTGTGTGTAAACAAGGAAATAGAATTTCAGCTAGTTTTATTTAAAATGTGGTAAGTGATGAATCATGAAAATCTACTCCTGAAGCCAAGAGCATGCTGTATACACTATATACACTGTATTCAGCTAACTTGAAAATAAATTGTATTTTTTAAAAATGTGATAAAAGCAAAATAAATGATTTCCTCACAAATTTGAAAATCATTTTTTGAAATTTTTAGAATTTAAATTCTTAGAAGGCAAATCTAGCAGCTAAACCAGTGCTGTTTATATTTTTATTTTTTGTTTTATTTTATATTTGAGACAGAGACAGAGAGTGAGCAGGGGAGGTGCAGAGAGAAGGAATCTGAAGCAAGCTCCAGGCTCTGAACTGTTAGCACAGAGCCCTGTGTGGGGCTTGAACTCAGAAGCAGTGAGATCATGACCTGAGCCAAAGTCAGACACTTAATCGACTGAGCCACCCAGGCACCCCAAACCAATGCTGTTTAATATATGCTTTTATTTAAACTTATAATACCTTTATTTTGACAATTTTGTCACATTGTTATTTGTATATTTATATACATAGAGATTCATATACTTGACTTTGTTTTTCAGCCTGAAGATATTTACCTCTTGTGGTTCTTTTACTTCACTCTTTTACCTTTCTTTTGAATATCTTCACTTTCTGGTCTTCAACCTGAGAACATTCTCCTTTGTTCCATTTCCTTAATAATTTCAATCATATTGCTCTGAAGAGGCTATTTGCAATGTTTAGCTCCTACTTTTTTTCTTTATCCTTGATCTCTTAGCCAAATCTAATTTCTCACAGTCCCCTTTTCAGGCTGAAAGTGATAGAATTATTTATTTCTTTTATCTACAAACCCTTCAGGAATTTTGTCATTATTAGGTGAAATACAGTAATTTCCTCTGTCTCTCCTCATTCCCATTCTCTCTTCCCCAGTACCCCCTCTTTCAGAATATTTGTCTGGATTTTCTTATTTCTACTTCTTAAGTCTTCAGTTCATACCAGATTTTTTGATATCAGATGACTTTTCTCTCTATAATCTGTACCTGTTGCCATTGCCAAAATCTTCCTTGATAGTTTACCCCCACTATCAAATAGTTTACCCTCTGTCATATTAATTGATATGCTGCATTTGTGACCCCTATTTTTACTTTTTATTGATTCTTACATTCATTCTCTTACCCTTTCCTTTCAGCTGAGCAGATGTCTAGCTTTTTATTCTATCTCCTAATCTTCTAATTTACCTCCCTCATTGCTTATAATAAATAACTTCCTACCACACATCTGCCAACCTACCTATATTCTCATTAAAAGCTTGCTTGAAATTTTAACTCCTTTTAAGTGGGTAAAGATAGGAAAATAGCAAAAAGCCTATTTTACAATTGATTTAAATTTTTCCCCAAAAGTCTGTATGCTAAATTAAAGAGAACTGCTTATAAAACAACAGCAACACTCAACCAATCAAAGCTTCCAGAAAAGGAAGGTAGTTTTAGATATTTTAGCCATCCTACTGAAATTTTGCTCCTGTTGTGCCTAGCAATATGTTAAAAGGGCGAATACAAACCCAGAAGTAGAAGACATGATTATTGTCCTCAAAGAACTAATAATCTAGGTTAGGAGACTAGGTTAATATATATGAAGCATTTAGAAAGTAGCTATAATAACTAGTCTGATAACCAAAATGCTGGTTGTGTTGTATAGACTTTAAGCATTATAAGTAATCAGGGGAAAGAGAACACATTATTGCTTGGAGCTGCCAGTCAAGATTTTATATGGGAAGTAGGTCTTGAAAAAAAATGTAGAATTTGGATTAGCTGGACTGAGGCTAGAAGACTTGTATTAGCATGTATAGGTAAAAAGAGAACTGCTTAGCAAAGATTCTAACAGAAATTAGTTGATTGTTAAAGAGAGCATCAAACTTTGTTCTAGGGAGGAGTAGGAAATATAATCAGTTAATTAAATTGGAACTAATTGATCAAAAACCTTGAATTCCAAATTGAGAAATTAAGAATTATTAAAGAAGGGGGCACCTGGGTGACTCAGTCAGTTGAGCGTCTGACTGTTGATTTCGGCTCAGGTCATGATCCCAGGGTCATGGGATCAAGCCCCTGATCAGGCTCTATACTGAGTGTGGAGCCTACTTAAGATTCTCTCTCTTCCTCTGCCCCTCTCCCCACTTGCTCTCCCTCTATCTCTAAAATTAAAAAAAAATTAAGAATTGGTAAAAAGAAAATTCCCTTCCTATACATTTTAGTTAGTCAAGGTTTTATCTTGTTTAAATATCCAAGATTTTCTAATATAAATAGTATTTGCTAACATCGAATGTTTTGCTATGTACTAAGCATTGTTCTAATTTTTATATGTAATACTAACTCATTTCATCTTTACAACCACCTTTTGTGGTAGGTCCATTTTAATCCCCTTATTTTACAAATGAGGATGAAAAGTTAACTATAACTGGTTCAGTTTGGCACAAGTGACAGAACCAGTATTCAAACTCAGGAAATTTCTGGTACCAGAATCTACATTCTTATCTGCTGTATGCATAATCTTATGGAGGATATAAGTGCTATAAATATATAGTGAGATTTGGACAATGAAATGGACTTATTTTTTTATTGGAAGATAATTTTCTCCAGTACTACTCACATTGGAGCACAGTAGTCTCTTTGTCCTGAGTATATTTTTTCTTTAAGCAAAATCTTCACAAGGAAACTTTGGGCTAGAAATTTTAAAAAAGATTAATCCATTGGTTGTTTGTCAGATGAAGTGATATTAGTTTTATGTATTGTAAAATCTTTATTTCAACAATCTCTTTATTACAACAGGGCTTTTGGTTGGGACTCTTGATTCAGTCTTAGACTCTACTGCTAAAGTTGCTCCATTTCGCATCCTACACCAGACACCCGATTCTCAAGTTTACCTGTCAATTGCATGTGGTGAGTACAGTTTTTAAAACATAAAATTCAAACAAATAAGGGTACTAAAAATTAAATATTTTCATTTATTTATACTCCCCAGTTTTGATTTAGAAATGAGTTAAATGTGCAACTTTATATTAAGACAAGAGCAAGATTATAGATTATTATGGTTTTTTAAAAAATCTATTAGTGTGAGGGACCTGAAGCATGTGTTCCAGCAAATTTTGGTCCTACTACATGATTCCTTTTTTCAACTTGCTTCACCGAACTGCTGAGAAGATGAGAACTTCCCATGAAATACTTCGTTTTTTCTCTGATAACTCAGATTAAGGGAATCAAGTGCAAAATTAAAAATTGCCCCCAAAGAGAGTATAAGCCCCCCAAATTGAAACATTTTTATTTACACACCTACTTTCTCACAAAAGGGGTGTCTTACAGGTAATGCTACATGTTCATTCATGCCGATAGTTCAAATGCCTCAAAATATATATATTGTAGATAGAAAATGAATTAGGATATCCTTCCTAACAAAACAACTCAAGATTTTTGTAAAAACCCACATTGATAGTTTACTTCTTTTATTATGCCTTTATGATGTTGGTTTAAATTAAAATCCCAGATTTCTGGCCTATTAATATTGAAAGACTGCCTTTTTCTTTCTTTTGTTTCCTCCCTCTCTTCTCAAGTAGATACACTTTTTAAAAAGTATGGAGAAAAAAATAGTTACAAACAGAGAGAGAGGGAAGCAAACCATAAGAGACTCTTAAATACAGAGAGCAAACTAAGGGCTGATGGGGGATGGGGCGGGAGAGAGGGGAAATGAGTGATGGGCATTGAGGAGGGCATTTGTTGGGATGAGCACTGGGTGTTGTATGTAAGCGGTGAATCACGGGAATCTACCCCCAAAACCAAGAGCACACTGTATATGCTGTATGTTATGCAATTTGATAATAAATCATATTTCAAAAATAAAAAAATAAAACATGTGGATTCTGGGTAGTTCATATGTGTGAACATACAGCATAACATTAATTTTTTAAAGATATGTGGCTTGTTTTTTGCATCTTACTATATATTGTCTTTAGTGATGCTGGTGAGTGTTTTCTCCTGGATCTTATTTTTTTAATGGTTTTATTTATTTTTGAGAGAGAGAGCATGAGGAGGGGAGGGGCAGAGAGAGAGGGAGGCAGAGGATCTGAAGCAGGCTCTGCACTGATAGCAGAGAGCCTGATGTGGTGTTCGAACTCACAAACCTTGAGATCATGACCTGAGCTGAAGTCAGATGTTTAACCAACTGATCCACCCAGGCACCCCTTTCCTGGCTCTCAGACATTATACCTGCTGACATCATGAGACATTTGTAAGCTCTACTCTAAATCTGGTTGGTAGAAATTATTTAGGGAAAAATGTCCATTCTACTTCAAAAAGGGGCAGTTATTATATCACTTACTCCCCCAAATTAACATGATGCAGAAATAAAATAATTACCTACTAATGAAGCTTTCTTTAGACCTAAAGGACCCCAAAAAAGACTTAAAATTTTCCCATGGCTTGTATTTGTGATTCCTTAAAGAAAATTATTACACATGGTACTGTGACTTTAGTAACATGAATACAGTTTCTAACTGGATTATAGGAAATAGGCAGTTTTGCAGTTTCAGTAAATTTGTTAATATGTCACTTCCGTATATCATAAAACATACTAAAAGTCAAGATGTTTCTTTTGAGTGAAATATTTGTAATCCACAGTGCTGGTGAGATCTTTATGCAGTAATCAGGGAAGACTTACAGATATTGAAATGTTCTTCAAGCCAAAGCTACCCAGAGCCTAACTAATATTTAATCTGACTCTCAACAAGCCACCTACTACTGATCTGGCAGGTCACACGGATTTACTTACTTGTAGTAAGGTTTCTAACCTCTTTGATGAAACTGCTTTAAGTTAACTAAGCCCTTTAATGAAAAGGGTGACTGAACAAAGGCTTTACCTTCTAATATAAGTAGAGTTGCCACTGCTGAAATCCACATTTCACATAGTATTATGTGCATGCTGTTTGTAGTTACACAGATTATATGCACAGTACTGTATTATGTGAAGACCAAGGATTAAATTATATATATTTATGTTACTGGCACTTTATATATTCTCTTAAAAAATACTAGTTCCTGTGGGCACCAGTTACTGGCATCTTGTTTTCAGAATTTTGTCTTTTCTCATGAGTTGTATTTACTTTTTTCCCTTCTCATTAAATATTTTATTCTTCCACTTAACAATGAAAAATAGTATTTATCCCCACATATACAGATGAAATAGAGAATAAATGTAATTAATATCTTTATTCCTTTATGATCATTTTTGAAAATGAACAGATATACTTTTATTTCTTTTTAAACTAAGCTTGTAAATATCAAGAGCAATTTTGATGTGAAGTTTCCCTTCAGTCTTTTATTCTCTTTCGTTATGAATCAGGAGCCAACAGAGAAGAAATAACCAAACACTGGGATTGGTTGGAACAAAATATCATGAAGACCTTATCTGTGTTTGATTCAAATGAAGATATTACTAATTTTGTACAAGGAAAGATAAGAGTAAGTGATGGATATATTTTGTAGATGGAATACTAAAATCTTTGACCCTCTTATTTTAGGATCAAACACTATGTGAAAGGTCATTGTTTCACTGATAACCTTTCAGAATTGGCAGAAGTACACATTATGAATGTCAGAATCAGTGCTAAAGAAAATTATAAAAGTCAATGATTAGTTTTTATTGCCCTTGTGAGTACTCTTAGGGATATTTTCATATCATTATTTCTTGAATTTAGAATTTGAATGAACCCTTCACTTATTCCAAAAAATATTTAGCACCCATATTTGTGGTAGCTCCTTGTGAGGCATTAGAAAAAGCCTAATTAGAAAATTTAAGAAAATTTGCTCACCTCTGTCCTGAGAGAAGCATGTATGTACACATATGTACCTATGTAGATGTACACAGTTTTAGTCAATGAACTGTTTAAATATATAAAATGTATTTTTGTTGGTAGCTAATAATTTTCAAAAAATATTTTGTCTCCTTTAGGGATTAATTGCTGAAGAGGGAAAACATTCTTTTGCAAAAGAAGATGATCCTGAGAAATTTCGAGAAGCCCTTTTGAAATTTGAAAAATGTTTTGGTTTACCAGAGCAGGAGAAGTTAGTGACCTATTACTCATGCAGTTACTGGAAAGGACGGGTCCCTTGTCAGGGTTGGCTCTATCTTAGCACCAACTTTCTGAGCTTCTATTCTTTTTTGTTGGGATCAGAAAGTAAGTGGTTTCTGTTGCTTACCATGGCTTTGAACTTGCTGACTGACCTATCAACTCTGTGATGTTGTTAGGTTGTATATAAAGTAATAGTATTGATATTAAGAGTAATTGTACATTAAAAAATTCACTTTGTCTGGAGAAAGAATCCTTTTAACTGGTTGCTTAACATAGGAGCCATTAGAAGTATGTATGGAATGCCTTGCATATTGTGGGAAGTGACTGGATATTAAATGATGATGGTGACCTGGCATATAACTCCTTTATTGTTCTAAACTATCTACTTTCTGCAATCCATGTTTTAAATTTGCAATATAAATGTAGTAGCCATAATACCTAATGGCCCATAGTTATAAAGAAGAATCAAACAGTAATGTTCATAGCACACATATAGCTTTTACATCAGTGGTAATGCAATTTTGTAAAGTAACAGATTTAAATATAAAATCAGAACATTTTTTTAAAAAATTCTTTAAAATTGTATCTCTTCCTAGAATCACCAATTATTGTATGTAATGGTTATGCTTCAAAATTTGAACTAATCTTGAAGTCTAAAGTATTTTAGTTTGCAGCATTTTTCAAGTGGTTAGCTATTGTCTTAAAAGAGGTGATTGATAAGCATTAATCAGTATTGAGAAATTTAATCATACCTGCTTATAATTCTTATTTGCAGTAAAACTTGTTATCTCCTGGGATGCAGTCTCAAAACTTGAAAAGACTTCAAATGTTATACTAACAGAGAGTATTCATGTGTGTTCCCAAGGAGAGAATCACTACTTTTCAATGTTTTTGCATATTAATGAAACATACCTTCTTATGGAACAGCTGGCAAACTATGCTATAAAGAGACTTTTTGATAAGGAAACATTTGCTAATGACCCTATCCTTGATGATCCTCTACAAATCACCAAGAGGTATTCAAAGCTTAATTAATACTTTTTAAAGTATCATTTGACCAAAGAATAACAACATTGATTATCATTAAAAGTTAAGTGTTCTATGTTATATGATAATTTTTCTTTGGAATTAATCATTGATGTGTGGGTTTTCTTTAGTTTATTCAGATACATTTTACAAGTAGTATCCCCTCCATTGAGTTTAATCCTTAGAAGTAATAGAAGTTAGGTTTGAAAATTATTGAGATCCAAGTATAATTTTCCCTGGAGTGCTTATAGAAATATAGAGATTTTTGTATGCATAGTCAGTTTAAATTTCTCTATGAGTAGTCTAGACAGCTTTAGGTCTGATATTGTAAAAATGTATTGTTTGTTTTTATTTTTATTTTTATTTTTTTTTAATATATGAAATTTATTGTCAAATTGGTTTCCATA